AACCAAAGAGTACTCGATACACATTGGAGGAGGACACTCAGTTACCTACTGAGACAGTTTTTCTTTCCACAACACTCTTCACTTCCAGGGTTTAACCACTAAAGCTTGATCTAAGATCTCATCACTTCTGGTCGCCTGACTTGCCTGAGGCAGTCCGAAAGTCATTGGAAAAGCGGGGGAAGTCAGAGAAGCGCTGGGAGCCGTATCAGCCGGGAGGGGCTTGAAAAAGGGCCCCAGTCTGTCACCAAGGAGCTCATGGGCTGCGGGATAAATCTCTGAGATCTCCACCAAGGCAGGAGAGGGGGTTGAGGAGGTGATGTTCAGAGGGCACTTTGCCTTTGCACAAGATGCATGTGAGGCAATTAGTAGCAGGCATCTTGCCATAAGTACTGAAAACAAGGTCTGTGGTGGGGCCAGGAGCACCAAAGTTGACCCTGACAGTGAAGGGGTAAGAGCACTTGCAATCAAGGCTTCCTTCAAAGGTAATTTCTGTGTGGAATCTGCAGTCTGCCCACAGGGGGCTATCTCATCAGATGCTTTAAGACACACTTGAGTTGAAGTGAACATACATCCTAACAAGGAGTTTTTTCTAGTCTCAACATAAGATGATGGACTCTTAAAAGTCACCTAAAATTTTGATTATGCACTTAACATGCATCTTGGGATTTTGCCCCAGTAGGTAGCTGTGGACTGGGCTCTTGTGGAAAAGCTCCAACAGCAGGTAATGATTGGACAAGATCAGTTTGATAAGTTTTAAACAGTGCACCAGTTTGCCTTCTTCCCCTCCCTGAAACTCATTCCATCCCACCCACTTCTTTTTCTACCTCATTTTCCCCCCACACCAAATTTTCAATCACCTCTTTCATCCAATTTTTAATCCTGTCCAGAATCCAAATCAGAATGGTCTTCCAAAAAATACAATGCTTCAACAAAAATTGTGACCATTCAGATGAGCCTCCAAAAATACTCTCAAAGCTTCAGCCACCAAGTCCTTGGAGTCACAGTTTTGGATCAACCATTCTGTCAATCAAAAAAGAAATACCACAAACATCAGTGTGTCATACAAGATCCTGAGGAATATGCAACCCAAGGCCAAAAAAGCTTATTATTGTTGAAAATGTGATCATTTGTTCCCTTATCTTGTCTTCTTATCTTTGCCTCTCAATCATGTTTCTCCTTTCCTTAGAACCCTTTTCTGCTCTACCAGCTTAAACTGATCTATACAAATTGACATCATGTATTTATTCTTTTTAAATTGTGCCCAAACAGAGTAAAAAATCATCAGTTCTTGTCATTCTGATCCTGAGCAAGACACTTCAGCCTCTTTCCTCAGAATCCTTACAGAGGCAAAAATTGATAGCCAACCAAAACTTTGCATATGTTTTAATCACCTTATTCAGCTCTGCAGCCTGGCTCTCAACTGACCTGATAGTCTAATTCATGATATCACTGCAGTGGGAAATCTGAATAAAAAATAGAAACTTTGTTTGGGTGAGTCGGTGGCGGATGAGTCTTGCAAACACTCACCCACAAACACACACACAAGAGCTTGGAAGGACAACCAAATATCCTCTTCAATCCAATCCTCTCTTTGTACTACTTGGAATCCTCTTTAATTCAATCCTCTCTTTGTACTACTTGGAAGATGAGCCACTCCCGCTGCCACTCTCCCCCAAGCCTGTCTTCAAATATTCCAAGGCTACTGTGTTGAGCTTTTGCCTTTGTGTTTACTCAAATGAAAGAGAGGAAACCCCTCTTCCTACAGTTTTCATCTTGTCACCATAAAATAAACCTGTACATTATTGTGAAAAGGCAGATTTACAGCCCTTAGCACAACGGTCAGTACAGAATCACAACATGCTTTACTTAATCAAAATTAACTCTTGACTAGGCTATTCCTCAAAGAGCTGTGATTACATCATAGCCAAGGGATTTTTTTATCTTGGTGGAGGGTTTGATATGCTTTCAATATGACATCAAGAAAATTTTCAACCAAGTTACAAAAGAGTTGTTGATTAATTGCAGAGGATATCAACTGAACTTAGTACCAAGTTCACCAAAAATCAGGCTAAACTTGTGCACAACTTATAACCAACATTTCCAAGTTAAGAGAAAGCACTTGAATGCAATTTCCAAGGAAAAAGCCCTGGTGATCAATACAGGAGTGTCTCTATGACCACAGGTTACTCTCCTTGGCATGAGCAGTGAGCAAAAAACGCTTGTTTGATAACTCAACATCACATTATAAAGACCCAATACAATCAATATCTGCAAAAGCCTTCTTGGCATATGTCATTTCATAAGAAAGATGGCTAATGCGCCTTCCAAGTTTTTGGTGTTCACAGGCAAGTTGTGTATTCCCATTGCTCTATCTGCCAGCTTGTGGGAAGTATTGCTGACTGGTATGAATTTAATAAACAGATGAATCATCCATTTGTTCTTTTGATTTGTTGAGATCATTTGCCAGGTCAAACAGAAAAACAAGAGCCTCTTGTTTCCTTCATGATGTGAATGTGTTGAGTTTTGGCAAGATGTAGGTGTATTTATAAATTTTATAAGAGCAGACAAAGTCTGAAAAGTACCGGAAAGCTCAATCAGTG